CATTTTTTATGTCAAAGTTGACATGCAAGCTGGCGATTCATTTCATATTGAGTGGTGACTGACGCGCAGTCGCAAGTGCACACGAAATGTGTAGATACACATGACGGGCCACTGTCAATAATTAAAAAACTAGGCCCTTGTTACGTCACCTACCATACGAAAAGTGAAATTATAATAGTTCCACTTGATGCCGGTGTTCTATGGGGTCGTAGCCCTACCGCAGACAGTCAAATTAGACCTGTTAGAAACATATTTAGCTAGAATTAAGTCAAAAATCTAAATAAAAAAAATTAAATTACATTTATTCATTTCTCAAAATTATTTTCGATGAAAAAAGGATACAAATCAAGCATACATACTGTACAATGAAACATAATAAAGCTATCACAATTATACACTGCTTATACATATATCGGATGCCATCTTTACGTCCTGACATTACCTACGCGTACAAGTATTTTGCTTATCCCTTACGATTATCATCTTTGGGGCCATTGCCACTCTCTTCAAAGCGTTAGATCGCTCAGAACTCACCGCTACGACGATGACCTACGATACTTATCGCTTAGAATTAAATGTTTATTACATTAACTTAAAATGAACATAACGAAACCCTTTGGCAAATGAAACAATTTTGCAACTGATATTGTTTCGTTTAAAGAAACAAAGAATCGAGCTCGTGCATTTCTATCTTTTCAAAATGGACATTTCTCCGGAGTGGAGGTTTCTAATCGCGGACGTATCTGTATAGAAAAATGAATAAAAGATGATAATCGACGGAACTAGAGCGACGGAAGCCACAGGCATAAACGATATTTTTTCTGCATATATAAGTTGTAATAGGTTACAATGTGAGCAATATATACAACATGTTGTAATACAAAAGTGCTAAGAAAATAAATACTACTTTTCGTTTACTACAACGTGATTCGTCGATATTAACAAATTGATTAACATTTTTATGTATGTATATGTATTTATTTACAAAAGAATAGTATGTTTAATTATGTTTATCAGTTTTCTCGTATCCATAGTACAAGCGTTGCTAAGTTTGGGACTAGAGAACGTTGTGTAAAAATTGTCCGAAAAGTATTTATTTATTTATATATTTATTTATTTAGTGCTGACTCCTCCATCAAGGAGAAAGAAAAAGAGAAGACGAATACTAATTAACGGCAGTTACAAAACTTAAATTATTCAACGGTACGCACTATTCTATATTATACTATTAATAATAAAAATCTTTATTTATCATTGAACTGAGCACTTATTTAACAACATGACGACAATATAGTGTTGTATAGATTTTGAACTCTAATGCATTACGCTCTATGATACGCACTACACTTCGCTTAAACATTTTGAAAAAGAATTATTGTGTATAAAAGATACAGAAGTGTAAAGAAAATTGAAGTTTCTTTCGAATAAAAGAAAAGCGAATATACCTTCGAAGATATTTAAGTCAGTTGCATACAGAGAAATTACAGCAAAAACTCTACTTAAGGCTTAATGGCTGTGCTAAGAGCCTGAGTAAGATTTGAGAATGAGCTGGCATCGATAAATGTTGATGTAAGATGTTACTGATTGTGTAAAACTCACTTTCGTAGCAAAAAAAATATATTCGCACGCGAAACGCCTGTGAATTAAATGCCCGCGTGGAGGGAGACGGTTTTCATCGCAATACATTTGCAACACATGCAGTGACTGTGGTAGTGTAGGGTATGAAAAGAGGCAAAAGGCATCGCGTCTTCTTTTTCAATAGCACTTTGTTAATTTAACTCTCTGGATACGGAATTAACTAATAAAGAAAGATTGACAAAAGTATATGTTAAAAGAAAACTCAAACTCATCACACAAAAATTTTCCAGTAGTGGGAATCAAATCGACAACCTCAGGCGTAAGAGGCAGGGTCACTACCCACTACGCCAATCAGGTTTGATACAGATATCCTCACTAATATTATAAACGCGAAAGTTTGTATGGATGGATGTTTGTTACTCTCTCACGCAAATACTACTGAATGGATCTTAATGAAACTTTACAATAATATAGCTAACATCAGAATAACACATAGGCTATAATTTATATACATATTTTATCTATTTGTCATTCTGTCTGAATGTTACGCTTTCAGCCTATTCTACGCAGACGGAGTCGCGGGCAGCAGTTAGTTAAAATAAATAAACTTATTCATGAAAGAGAACGCAATTCATCATAAGTGATAAAAATATGTCGCCACCATTGTCACCATGAGCGTCATAGTTTTACGTGAAATTGTATATAATGATATTCAAGTAAAAAAATATACAATCCAATTTATATACGTATATGTATATTTATATTTCTAGGTAATGTATATTTTAAAATATGTTAAAATAGATTAGTAATATTTTTTGGTACTTTTAACATACTTAGAATAGAATATATTTTATTGGACACAAGAAAATTAATAGAAGGAAAATACAGGAAACATAGAGTACAAATAGACGACCGTATTGCTAAGGTAGCAATTTCTTCCAGGCAAAAGGGTACAGGATAGGTACTTGTTGGCAGTGATTCTGGTAGTCTAAAATACATAAATATTCCGTACAATTATATTCACACAAGTTTATCAGAACGTATAACTGTTAAAAGTTCTGAAAACCAAATAAAAATCCTCAATGCATCCGTATTGTACTATCCAAATTATACGTTAAAATGTAAGATTGACGCTAGGAAGAACAATAAAGAAACAAAAGATAACCGCCCGATTAACTGTATAGAGATAAACTGCACTCCTGTTTATTTTACTTTAATATGTTTTAGATAGCATCGTACTACGACAAAGAATATTCACATAAAGCGTAGGTCGCGAATTACGACTTAATATGGACCTTTCCTCATGACCTATGTAAGTTACTCGTATAGTATAAGCAAACTTTTATTACTTAGGAGTGAATCTAAATGCAACGTCGCTCATTTAAACTGTCTAGATAAAACAAACGTAGTTCAACTTCCTCAATGAAATGACCAACATCCCTAGTTTCTTATCATCGACACTGTTCCACTTGTACCGATGTTGGACTTCGTCTTATATTTTCTCGTGTATGCTTCATAAATAAATCACATTTTGGAGTCAATGTATGCTTCATAAATAAATCACATTTTGGAATTAATGTATGCTTCATAAATCAATCGCATAAAGTTAGATAACTCAGAAATAGGAATAGTTGCAATCTTCATTTTTGTTAATGTTTCAACATTCATACAATGTTGAACCTAGGTCTTGTAAATTAATGAATTATGAAAATATAATTAATGAAACTAAACTAATTACTTAATATATATTCCGTAATAAAAGATTTAGCTAGAAAAGCTCACTAAACTGTGGTAGGACCACGCAATACTGTTCACAGTTGCACGAATGGGCAGGTCCGTCCGGGTAAGTACCACGTCCTCACATAAGACCGGGGTAAATTAGATGTGCCTGGGGCCACTTTATTTAAAGTTGCCGTTAGCTCGTATGCCACTTTCTCACATTAAAAAAAAGTGAAAGGAGTAAAATGATTGCTACAGGCACAAGTATACTGGTGTGAATCTCTTGTCAATAAATACGTTGTTTATAAAATTACCTGATTTGAATTGCCCATTAATAGTTTAAAAGGAACCGTTTAACATTTTACTTACATTAAACGCCAATGATATTCTTTTTAACTGCATTATAAAACTGTTGCCACAAGACTATTTAAACTAAGCAAACAAACTCATCGCAAATGCATTTAAAGTGCATCAATATCCAGTATCACTTAAATAACCGGTAGAGTAGACAGACTAGCTAAAGTTTGTTCATAAAACAAGTTGAGTGCATTTTTATCTCAAGAGATATATGATATATTTGTTGAAGACCATCAAATTGAAATAAAGTTGACTGCGTGGTGCAATGATTTTAGTTGTCAACGCGCACTTTATTGTGGGCTCCTGCGCAAGATAAATAAGCTAAAGAAATCTCTACTTAACCGACCTTAATAATAAGTTGAAGTATGACTAAATCGAGAGGTAGCCTAAACTTTGACATTGAAAATTTGGACAAATCGTTGAAATTATTTTTTTTTTATGTGAAAATGATACCAAGCGAGCAGACGGTTCACCTGATGTTGTGTGAATACCGCCACACATGGACATCTGCTACACCCAAGGGTTTCAGATGCTTTGACAACCTTTTGAAAATTGGGCTCCGGCCACCTCGCTCACCAGACGAAACGCGAAAGTATTATACTTCCACGCCGGTCTTCTGTGAGGTCGTGGTACTTACCCGGACGAGCCTACCCATTCGTACCACAGCAGAGGCTTCTGCGTGGCCCTACCACCGTAAAACTTTTTATTATAACTTTTTATTATAAGGCACAAGCTTAAACAAATCTGACCGTATAGTATTTTATAATTAAGACTGTTATTCTTGCTTTTGTTTTTTTTTTAATCTTATTTTAATATTTAAGGCAAATTCAACTTACTACAGTAGTAGGTGTTGCGTTTGCAATAGAAACCCACCTTTTTAGTTATGAATGCGGACGAAGCTCGCCAGAGTTTATAATATTTTAGAACAAGATCTTTTCATTGTATCTTAATGAAAGCGCATTATATATGACATGTACATCTATAGAGTTTCATTACTGCATCATAGACGATTTATTTTTGGCCCCTTGACGTCGGTTGAATTAGTATATGTATGTAGATGGTATTATCTGTGTAGCAAATATATAGTCAAGATAGTGTATAACGATATTTTATAATAGCTAGAATTCATTGTAACTTCTTCAATATTTACACGATAAACTTATTGATAATCAAACTCTATTATATGCCATTGGGGTGCGATATATTGTCATCGTAGTATTTTAAATTGTAATAATATGCATAGTTTATTTTAATTTAAGGATATTTCTACAAGTTTTAAGGATAAATTTCACGTAATCCTAAATCATTGCATTTTTATTTTAGCTACAAGAGGAATCGAGCTAAAGATGTCTTCTTCGAAGATCTTTGGAAAAAGCAGTTCAGGGTTCACAGGCATTCTCGTACTCCTGCTCGTAATATGTCTCGTGGAATGCGCCACAGGTAAGATTGATGATAATTTCATCATAATTTCAGCCTGTTTGAGTCCACTGCTGAACATAGGCCTCCCCCATAGACTGCCACGAAGCACGATCCTGAGCCACCAGCATCCATCCCCATCTAACCCTAAAAATTATCAAGTAAAGCTGATGTCAAAGCTCACAGCGACGTTGTAAGCCGGTGATAAACAAAGATGGTCTATCAATCACTTTTCAAAGCCGCTTGATCATTGAACCTATCAAGGAAAGCTGAAAATATTTATTTTGCTAATTTACTAATAATATGTCCACATTATTTACAGTTATTATCATTAATTACACTGTTATTTTATTACACAATTATTATTAATAACAAGGATATTAATTTTGGCTTCGAAATAATCTTAAAATTAAAATCTCAGTGTTGACGAAATAAAATAAAATAAAAAACATTTCAATTCTTAAAATACCAAAGAAATAAACCAAAGCCTTGTAATTTTTTTATATAAACATCCGCTCGCCTGCACAATTCGCGGAAACTGTGAAATATGCTCATACCCGGTACGAGTTCAAGAAAGCGACATCAGCACCGACATAAATATTCCCGACGACGCATTAATTCACTAAAAACATCTATTAACTGCATCCACCCTTCGAAGGAATACTGACTGATAAATGGAAACCAACTCTGAAGCTTTCCTAGTTATTCGATCTGAATATAATCAGGAATGAACGCCGGAGGAATATTCTCAATGTGTTTAAAGTTTTTTTTTTTTTTTTTTTCATTATATGTTATTGAACAGAACCTGTCAATGAATAAAGGACAGGTTTGTACAACGAAGCAAAGAAACTGTTTATTTAACCGCTAAAAGTACGCTTAAAGTACTGAAACTTTTACTGTAAAATTGCATTTGCTTAGACCAAATTCACACAAGCGTATGATTTAATTACATTCTATTATGTTAGTAGTATGTAGAAAGAAAAGAAGTTGAAGAGGAGTCCAACTCATAAAGGAAATTTACATCACCTGAACATAGTAGATATTTGTTAAAACGTTATGTAAAATTAATCATTTACTACTGTCTTTTTAGACTCCTAAACGTTACCGAACCCGTCTTAAAATGTTCCCTGGCCATAAGGTGACCCACTTGCGCGTTCATCTACTTACACTATAAAAAAATCATGTATATTGAATTTTTTTTATTTTTCTTACAATACTGAAGACTCTTAAAGGCCTAAACTATTACAAACCCGTATGTATAAATATAGAGTTCCGAATAATGCAGAGCGCATTACGGTCGTGGTTGCAGAGAAGTAGTTCCGTTTCTTTTACAGTGTACGGGGAAAAGTTTCAATGGGTCGGCTGATTGCTGAGAATCATTTGAAGAGATCCGCACGCAATTAAAAGAATGTGACTTCCAGAAGAAAGTTGAAATTGTACTTCGTACGCTCATGACGTATTTTTTCCAAAAACTTTGACATTGAAAATTTCATCACTTAACAACAATTTGGATCTAAAACAGTGGCTCAGCGATTTCGATGCAATACTTTGGTATATTTTAATACTTTGGTACATTCGGCAGTGCTTATTAATGTACATCATCACTTCTATCCCACCTAGGTGGGGTCGAAACAAAATGTGATTCGTGTTGTAAGTGGTTTTTTACGACCGGACGCCTTCCTGACGTCAACCCTCTTTGGTTTTCATTTCATTCGGAGGATAAAATAACCGAAAGCAGTCTATTTTGGGTTAATTCATATCAAGACGTGAAGCTATACATACCATACTATGACGTCACTGAACGTGCAAACCATCACGCGCCTAAATATTCGTAACACAGTTAACAAACAAACAATAAGTTTGTTACTTTTGACGTGTTCTATTTGATTTGGCGGCCCCAAACGCGTGTCGACAAATCGCAACTTCTTTATTGCAGTTAGACAGTTTCCACGATAATAGTTTCACTTGGGTAATAGTTTATTCATTTTTTAATTTTATTTGGGAATAATTTATTTATTTATTTGTACTTTGTTGCAATTACCTTATACAAGGGCGATTAATTAAGGGGCATTACAAAGGGCGAACTTATTGCCTTTTGGCATTCTCTTCCAGTCAACCCCGGGCGTGTAGATAAATTTGTTGCAGGTGCAATTATAAAGTTAATAATCCTTCTATCTTCTTCGTTTCGTTCACGGGAAGCGCCGGAGAAAAGGTCATCGCCTACGAGAAGGGTTAATACGTTCCCCCCAGTTACATTCCCATTTAGCTGGCCATGAGGTATTTCTAATATTTGATAAATGTGAAAATATATTTAAAAGTAATGATATAATTCTCTTAATCATCATATTTATGATGCTATATAATCACTTGTTGTTTACAAAAAGCTTGAAACCCGATCCACTTTTTGAGTAACTAACATCACCGTACGTAAATTCTTGTTAAGAAAAAATTGTTTTTTTTTTTTTTTTCTTTTTAATTTCAAAAATTTATCCCAACCATAATTGTTTAAGAACGCATATAGTACACACATTCAAACATTTCATTCTTCATGAGAATTATTATTGTGGTATATTGCGCTGATATATAATAATGCCTTAATATAAATTGTAGGAATATAAATTTATTAATTAAATCACACAAAAACTAATAAACGAGGTAACACTCAAACATAACCAAAAACGTAACAATGATTTGAAATGCGGGGACGTAAACAATTCCGTTAGCGAATGCTAATTCAACATCAACAGCCCTAGACGGAATAATGGTCGTAAGTTATTGCTGCCAATTATAATTTTATGAAGATTTACCGCTAATTCAATCACAACAATACGCCAAATACCACTTTAAATAATTTCGGTGTATTTTCTACAAAGTTTACTTTACTTAATAAACTGTTTACAAGTGCACACTTCAGCTTTGTTTGAAGCTATCTATTGTACAAAACATCATGGAATATTATTCTTTTAATAAGCCGTCTGAAAACAGATATCTAAGTGAGCTTTAATATCAGTTATGCAAGACAATTCTCGTATTGATAACAATATTCTTCATTTACCAATTTTTTTTTTCTAATCAAGTAATTTCCAATTGCCTAGAAGCATGATTGTGCACAAGACTTGCTTATATGAGAAAGCACTAAAACGTGTTTTGTTTAATCATCCTTATTCATCCCTAAAAATAGCATATTATCACCAACGATTAAGTGTCACCTAAATTCTTAAGCGTAACACATACGTGGTGGTGAAAACGAAACTAGCTGTTAGTTTTTTAAGGTGTCCCTTAAAAACGGGCAGTACTCTAGTATGGGCAAGGTTAAAAATAAAACTAAACCTAAGCTGAGCTTCAGCGTTAAATCGTAAATTAATGAATCGTGAATCTTTCCGCGTCGGCAATCTACTAATTTTTAAACTCAACCAAAGGCTCGTACATAGTTATTAAGTGTTTACGAGACATAAATCCGAACTGCCCGCCAATAAGCCGAGTCGTAAATTACACTAATGTTTGCTGGGGATATTAAACTGTGCTTTTAACGTCCTACATAAAAATATGACGAACCGACAAATATTTGCCGCCCCGTACAAATATACACGTCATCAAGGATCACTTTTACGATCCAAGTGAGAAGATTTTCGACTGTTTAAAAAACAATCTCCATACTATGAATGTTGAACAATCTTAACAACGAAATAAATACACAGAGCAAATAATATGTAACAGCCATAAAATGCTAACAAACATCATGGACAATGGTATACTGACTGTAAATTTGACAAATAATTATTATTATCTTTTATTGTAAGAGCATTAACATATTCTAATTCGGATATGACTAAACGCCCAGAATGGATGACGATTATCTATGGTTCACACAAATATTTGTTGCAGTAATATTAGAGTATTGAGCACAATGTCACTTATACTTCAGGACCTTTGTACATTTGATGACAGAATTTAAATATATTACAAAGTTCACAAACTCTAGTTCGTATCGCCAGTTTCTAAGAACGAAACACAAAGTAATTAGAACATGGCATAAATAAAACATTTACTGATCGTGTGATAAACAAGTTAATTGCAAAGGACATGAACTACATTGTGAAATTATCCATTTAGACCTCAACAGGTAACATGCCGTTGGGGTAGGTCGAGGTAATATAAAACAGAGTAATGAACATACTTTATGGATTGCCAATAATATTTGAGAAACATATATTATGACATTGAATAACTCGATGTATTCATTTGCTAGTCTACTCATTTTTTTCTCATCATGGAACCAATTCAATGAATCGGTACAAAACATTTATATTCTAAAGTGCATTACATATTTATTTTTTTATTTTTATTTAACAACTAATATCCTAGATCCTAACTTCTCAGAAATTTTATTTCTTCAAGAACATTAACCACATATGAAGAAACAGTTTAATATTTTGTTTACCCGCAGATTCTAACTGAACAAAAGAATAAGCTTTAACTATTGCCGTATTTCCAAGATAATTGTTAAACGACAAAAATAAAGTTATCAATTTCACCATTAAGTCTTTAAAACTTAAACCAACAATACCTGAACGCAAACAAGGAGCAGAGTAAAAAGTTTTTAAGAGAAAACCAATTTCTGTGAGCACTTTGCGATAGGCGCTTCAATTATTCCGTTACGGAAGGAGACATAAAATGATTTCTTTAAACGACGCCCGGAAGCCGATTACCCATCGCAGCAATAACTGAGAAATAAATTGAGTAGAAATAAACCAATAGAGGCATGTGCAATACCGTACGAAACGTTACGAAGTAAAGTCGTTCGGTGCTAATATTATTTGCTACATCGCCTTTGTGCAGGACAAATTCTATTATAGTGTCGTGGCAATCTTTCAAATTTCATTGTCTTTTTTAATTTCATGCAAAACTTTAAATTTGATAAAGATCGCTGAAGTAACTATAGCTAGGTTTTTATCGGAATTATTTAAAACTTATAATTAAGTTTTTGTAAGATTATTAAAGTCGGCAAAACCAAGTATTAATACGCTTTTTCGGAACTAAATACATATGTACGACGACAAAATATACAGTGTAAAATATACCAACGACAACATAACCCTGTCAGATGTAATAATAGTGCTCATTCTATAGTCAGTTTGTAATAAAGACATACAACCAACTTATTTGCAACCAAACAGTACACAATATATAAGTACACCTTTATTTGTTTAGTAATGTCTTTTTGTCCGTAAGTCGTCCGTGTTCAGGCATTGGATCAAAGATAATTCCATTTTCGTGTATCTGATCCACAGAGCAGCGAATTAACAATAGAGGTAGCAAGTCCGCTAGCCTTATTGAGAAAGTCAACGGGTGGCGGAGCCAACGGGGAGGTATGTCGTGATATGTGTCATTAGCATGCCTTTACAATCATGTGTCTTGCTGTTAGAAATATATATATGTACATAAACAATTTGATCTCTAACCGCCTATACCAGCAAATCACTTGCGTGTTATCTGAATACAATCTCATCATGATGTTTATATTTTGGCCAATAATGTTAGTTAGAAACGCTTTCACATATATAAGTAATATTTTTCAAATATTTCTGGGCACTGTCATTTCTAGAATGCAAATCAAGTTTTTGCTTAATGAGGAAACTTACTTACAGCTTAATTAATAAAATCTTAAATTATTTCACTTTAATTAAATCTTTATTCCTAGTGAACTCAGGCTTATAATTTATTAAGTGCATCAATTCACTATCGAAATGTGAACATGCCTTAGATATAATTGCACATATCAGCCATATTACTTATTACTAGCATACATTAAAAATTACAAAGGAATGACATTATTAACTTAGATAAATATGTAATTGGTACTTATATCAAATGTTGAATATCCTTTATTATTGCATTTTTATTTCATGTATTCTTACGTATAATTGTGTAGTTTTATATGTTCGAATTTATAGGAAAATATTACAAGACACATGATACGGCATCACAATGACGTGAGCATGAGCTTTATCTGTAAATACTTCCTATTACAGAGCACAGAGCAATTTCTGCACCACCTTACAGTAGTAATGTAAACGGCAGAGCACAAATTATTGCATAAATCTTAAAACCATGGCTGTTGAACTTTTTGATACCTCTGTTGTTTATACTCTGCGCTTTCATAGTTTCTAGGAGCTTATTGACGTACGAGCGCTCTAGCAATTATAAATGCATGCGTATGCATACTGATTCATTAATAAATTGTTATGAACTGTTCACGGAAACTGACAGGCGGTCGCTTTTTCTTATTACTTCACGGAAATGGCCTTTTAACTAACAATAATTGTAATGCAATGTAGGAAAAATTAGAAGAGTTATTTTCTACAGTATTTGTGATGTTTGAATTTTTAATAAGATTGAACATATATTAAAAATGTTGACTCACGGACTTTTGTCGTAAGTTTGAACTTGTTATGCGCATGCAGGAAATCTTACGGCACATTCCAGAACGATTTCGTTTCGAATCGTGCGGAGAAATCCGCGATCTTTGGAGCCGGTGGCAAAGTTTCCACTTACCAGTTACCGTGTCATCCACTTTAAACCACCCAACTAGTTACATTAAATGCATATCAATAAAATAGAGATATTAAAGACTAGCGACCCGCCCCGGCTTCGCACGGGTGCAATAATACATACATATAAACCTTCCTCTTGAATCACTCCATCTAGTAAAAAACCGCATCAAGATCCGTTGTGTAGTTTTAAAGATTTAAGCATACATAGGGACAGACAGCAACGGGACGACTTTGTTTTATACTATGTAGTGACTGGCAATTATAAATATTTTTCGTCGTTTAACTATATTGTGATGATTATTTAATAATATTGCAATTATCAACATGCATGGAATATATTGTTCGTACGGAAGGACGAACATGCAAAGCCGACATTAATACATTTAATTGTCCTACCGCTTAGTCCAACAACAGTCCTCGTACAAGGTCATAACAGTTATTGATAAAATTTTATAGTAACAGCTCTTAATAAATATGATAACGGCGAAATAATTAGATTCTTTTGCATTTAAGAGCCGTTAAGTATTTTTGAGCCGTGATAGCTCAGTGTCCGGGCGCTCGCCTTTAATTCAATATACTCGAGCAACCTGAGTTCGATCCCCGGTGTCGGCACCAATGAAGTTTTTAACTTTAAGTGCTGACTTATCACGTGCTCCGCGGTGAAGGAAAACATCATGAGGAAACCTGCATATTTTCGAAATAATAACAAAAAAAATATATTTCGAAAATATGTGAAGTCCGCCAATCCGCAGTGGGGCCGCGTGGTGGACTATGCCCTGATACCCTCTGTATAGAGGAGGCCTTTGCCCAGCAGTGGGACATGTATAGGCTGTTACTTTACTTTACTTTTTTGCATTTAAGAACGTTTAATCACCAAACGTAAGGAAACGTAACTAACCAAACCGTTAGAACCTTAAAACTTAACAATCTTTATTACTCAGAATACTATTAATCCAAAAAACGAACTTACCAGAGCTTTTTTCTCAACTCTCCGTGATGTAAAAGAATTTAAATTAATAAAATAAAGACCTGTGAAAAAATAATTAGATTTAGACCTGTCAGTAAGGTTCTGTATAAATTTGAGACGATGCTTTTGCTACTTAGAACTTCCAAATATTATGTAACCACTAAACGGGAACCTTGTGATAAACTTATAAAAGTAACTAATTATTGTTTAATAATTAAATCCAACATTCGTTAGCTCTCTTCCGTCCGCTGAATTATGAAAATAATTAATCTTATTTTCAGTAATATTGTTCATGTAACGTCGCTTCTTACTTTTATAAGTCCTGCAGCATAGCAACTAAAAATACATAATATATTTGTATATATATAGGTTCGTTACTAGCCAAATTATACTCACTAGTACTGACAACTAAAAGCGATATCCGATTTATTTTCTCTCTAATTCTCTGAAGGAATTGCACAAACTTTGTAAAACAAGGCGGGAATAAATATTAACTGGAGATTATTACCGGTTCACTTCATTTTATAAATAAAACAGTAAACAAGGGTGAGCGTTTTGAAAATAAGAATTTTGAATAGAATAAATAGGCCCGGGGACTTTAAAAGATGGTTAAACAATTGTTTAAAACTGTTTATAAGTACTCTGATGTTGACAAAAAGAGGTCGGAGGAATTACTTTCGTTAAATCTACGCGAGTCTACATTTAAATCGAACAAAATACAATATTTAAAAAGCACAAAATAATTTATGCTATTAACAAAAATAAGTTATACCAATTAATTTGAAATAATTAATTTCTTATTGTAATGTCATTAGAATTCAATAACTGCTTATGTTCACGCGAATACTCCACAATGTAAAATGAAATTAATTTTTCGGATTATAACTCCTTTACCATAAACTTAAAGTCAAAACATTTAGAATAATTTGCAACGTTCATGGTCACGGGACTGCCTGAAAGCTACTATGTAGCTACGATGCTACGATCTTGTCGCAGTAAAGCTACGACACCGTAGTATAAGCTACAACTCCGTAGCTTTTGAGGGAGATTTATCTATCATTTGACTATAAAATCATCGATACAGGTATACAATTATTAGCGAGTTGCTTAAATATGTAATATCTGACCTTAGATTACACTATTGAGCAGTCGGTAAATCAATGATTTACACTGTAGATTTGCTCTACAGATACATAGATCAAAGTGGAACCTAAGACCATTCCCACCGCTTAATGGATTAAAACGGGGCAGTCCTCCTCTGAACGTTAACCTATATATAGACATTTAAGCAAGTTTGTCACCAGTTTATTGGTTATGACGTACGGTGATCACATTAAGGGGACACTCCCGTCTAATGCATCCAAAGCGTGACCCATTTATGACCGCTATGCCGTCCCTTTACGATGCACCGCGTCATTCTTTCAAAGAACACAATTTCGCAACAATAAATTATCGCATGGTATTTTTTTATGTTAGAAGGTGACAAATGATCTGGTGGTTCACCTGATGTTAAGGAATAACCACCGCCCGTTAACATTTCCAACGCCCGTACGTTTGCAGATGCGTAGCCACCTTTTCATAAAGTGGGCCCCGGCTGCCTCACTCACCAGGCTACACGCAGAAGTATAACAGATCCACTTCACACCAGTCTTCTGTGAAGTCGTGGTACTTACCTGGACAGACCTGCTCAGATAAGACTGTTGGTCCTACCATTATAAATATTACCAACCACTCGTCCTCTTTCCTAAGAACAGCTTTGCAATATATGATGATGCGAACCCAGGTCTTCTCGTGTCGGAACACTGTAATACAGAATATCCTTGCATAGATTCTTAAGGAATCATGTCTGTTGTATGGGATACCCACTTAAATATTTTTTTATTCTAATTTTTAGTATTTTTTGTTATAGCGGCGACAGAAATATATCATCTGTGAAAATTATTGTTTAAATGTCACGGTTCATGAGATACTCGTACAACCTGGTGACAGACTGAAAGACAGAAAGACAGACAGACAGACAGACAGACAGATAGACACATAGATAGACAGAGAGTCAGACAGACAGCGTGGTCTTAGTAACAGGGTCACGTTTCACCCTTTGGGTACGGAACCCTTTAAAGCAGGTCCGTCCGATTTATCTGTTACATCTAGTAAGTTAAATGTCATTGTATATATTACTCTTTAAGTATCACAAATAACAGCAGGAAAATTATCGGTTTTACATGATGTAATTAATAGATAGTTTATTCATATATACTCATATAAGTTTCAACTATCTACTTTGTAATTAAACTTCAACTTTAATATCCAAAGAAAAAGTAACATCGAACGTTTCACAACCTGTATATATGGTACAGTCCGCTTCGTCATATTTATGAAAATAGTAATTAAGTATTCTTCTCGTATTGCAGTGTACAATATGCGCTTGTGATTTAAAGTTTTTTATAATTTTAAAACATTTACAAATGTTTGTCTCTGTACGAACTTATGCAACGATGTAATATTTTTTGTGATATATTATTTTCTTTAATTGATGTCTTTTTTCTTCACTTTAATATATCTGTACGTATAAGAGACAGAAAATAGAAAGGCGTGTTAAAATGAATACATTTATTTTTTCAGGATCCTGCTTAAGCTACGGCCACTCTTGCTGGGGAGGTGAGAAAATATGATATTTGATTTTAAAAAACTAATCATAATTATTCCCGTACAATGTGCAAAAGAGAATATTGCTAGACACAATTACATACACTCTGGATGATCACATAAATGAAGGGTGGCTTGAAGGGTGACTTTTAAAATGGATGTTTATTTTTTCCTCAAAATACGTGTAACATAGCAAGTTTTACAAAATTGTTATAATACTAAGTTAGTCTTAGGTTCGTGAGCATTCGGAATACACATGAATTTAATTTTTTTACTTAAGATTCGATACTGGACATATTAAGTGAGCAAATTCGTAAAAAAAATAAAAGACCGGTAATTGTTCCAAAAAATATAGTTGGACGTAGTTCTCACTTTCTTAACATAAACTTTGGAATCGAGGGATGTTTTGAAGACATTTCCGTTATCACTCTACGTTTAACAATATACTCTATAATACTGTTAATAAAATATTACAACAATTGACTCGTGATCTTTTACCGTGTGAATTGACACGTGATTTTCTACGATATTTTTTTTGTTAACCACACTAATCATAATTTAAATTTATTGAAAATTATTTTCTACTATTTAGATCGGTTACCCAGTAAAGCCATTTTTTAGTTTTTTTGAAAAAAAAATTTATAGTGCTAATCTCTGCACTTAAGATTAAACATACAACATACCTACATACATACTTTTTCTATAAATTTTAATTTTTGAAACATGTTCTCAATATATTAAAGTCCACTTGAAAGAGCCTGGGTCGAGCATTTAATTTCCAGAGTGTGTTATCATTTAAATAATAACTAATATTAAAATAACCTTTAACACACAAACGTTTCTTTACATTTTTTTTTATTTAGCTACAAATTTATAATTTCAATAAACCATTTAACACTCGCGGCAATGAAGGCGAATCTCAAAACATGAGATTTATTTTCTTCCTTTTTCGGCTTTGATTGGAGTTCAATTACCAATAACATGTATCAACTAATATTGCTACTGTTTATTAAAACGTAGTAATAAAAAGATATCCAAAATTTTCTAAAACTAATTACATCATGTTTGCCGATGTATATGGGATATTAGTATTACATCTTTTACAGCTACCTTTTTTTCACTAATATCATATAAGATAAATTTGAAGAAATTAAAAATGCTTTAAAGTTTTCATTTAAATTCAAAACCAAATTTAGATAACATAAAATGAAAGTTACAAAGTTATGGCTGCTTTCTCATTCCATTCTGAACATTTTGATAACCGATATTGTTTCTGATTCCTAAATGCAAATTTTTTTTTCATCATCAGATGCGGAGGCCGTAAATTTTCCAATACTCCAAGAAAATAGAACTCGTTGCCACGGGCTAAAGTTATAATTATGCGAAATTTGAAATTTCGGAATCCCGAACTATGGATAATTGAATCAGGAACCGAAATTTATCTTTTGCTACGCAGTGTGTAGAGGACTTCTAAAAATGTTGAAACGAACCAAAACACGATAAATTTTATTATGATTTTGAACAGGGTAACTCCATATTGATATATGGATATTGAGTATAACCGAAATCAATCGTTAGTATAAAAAGTAGAATTAAAAGCGTCAACGTCTACCTCGTTTTTTTGCGTCAAGTAGTGTACACAATTCTTTTTCGTCTTCAATGTCTTACTAAGCTTTTTACCAGTGCTAGAAAAGATCGATTGTAAATGCAGGACCCAACACCCATCAAATTTTGCATTCAAAATATCTTCCAAATTGAAGCTTAAAGCACTAGGCGACATTTCACAATGTATTTAGGAATGATGGACAAAGAATATCTCCCAGTCTGTAACGTCTACTCAGCAGTCAATTATTCTGACAACGAAGCCAAGCTGTCAACTTTGTGCGTCAAAAGCTCTAGAACGCAATTTATCAGACACAAAAGGCTATAAACTGACATCAACAACGAATCCAATGTGTACACATGAAATACGATAGACTGTTATCGCTGCTAGCGGCTGGACAGTACACGTTATCTTCCTAATATTGCTTCCATTTAAATCCTGGATTACGATGACATGATGTCTTTCTAGCCACACATTGCAATATACATCGGGTATTGATGCAAAAAAAAGAATATATTTATACGGTTTTACCTTTGAAGATGACACTTTCTAAAGGCAATTTATTAATTCAATGCAAATAATATTGTAATTTTCTCATAAGATTATTTAATAATTTTATTTCGTAGAATTCATCATTCTACGAAATAAAATGAATTAAAATTAATTGCAAATAATGTTGCAACAAGACAACATAATTTGCAAACTATTCTGATTGCTCTGTTGTTACTAAATAAAATACAGATATAATCTGTATTAGATAACACTTGACTGATATTTACCTGATAAATAAAACGAACATAGTGTGAGAATTTACCCCTTATCAATGGCGGTATTTCCATCTATTATTGAATCGTTGTTTACTATCAATGGATTATGGTCATGATAAAATGGTCGCTGTAGTGCCAATATCTGAGGCTACTTTAGAATCTCAGTCGAAATTCAGCATTCTCTTTTTTTCGGATTTTTAGTTGCAATACTTTACAGAAACATTTCACGTATAAAGCAAGTCTTCAATCTATCCAACGAACATTAGGATCGCTTAAATCCCCTGATGTCATAACTAAGCCAGAGCTGAATGGTGCAGATTTTAAATGTGACGGTAATTAAAAATATAGATGTTACTTTGCCCTTCCCCCCATTTCCGAACAACGTGATGAATATTAATGCTCCAACGTTTAATGAAATAAAAACGGGGGAAATTTACGATGACACAAACACGAGCTAAATTGATTTTAAACAGGACCGGTTAATAAGAGTTGGATTCTTGCCATGACAGGACTAATTTTAAATAAAATTAGTGGTATATTTAATACTCCATATTTAATACCACTAATTTTATTGAAAACTTTAACTGTCATGACAAGAATACAACTCGTATTAACCGGTCATATTAAAAATCTACAATGCATAAGAAGACATTTTGTTCCTATATTTTTTTCATAACGTACAATCTTACGCTCATAATTATATTCTAGTATCAAATAAACATAGCACATCGTAGCAGGCTGTCAAGTTTACTTTGTGAGCCACAAGCAATTGTCGAAGTCTCTTAGTTTGGTAACACGATTAATATTATGACTGACGTTTATCATATGGACGATAAATCAAGTATTCAACAAGATCAACGTATGTAAATTGCACAAGTAACAAAAATAAATAAACACAATTGTAACATAAATTGAAACTTATATTGATATTAAATACGTTTCGATTGTATTGGCTTCGGCATCGGCCAACAAGGGCAAGAATTTGTCCAACCTATAGAAAGTAATATAACCGCATTTCCAAGCAGAATCTTAACCTTTGACCGAGAAAAGAACCAACCCTTTTGTTACCATCCTAGGACGTAAGCCTTTCAAAAATTTCGGTGTGCGGGGACCTAATGACCTAAGTCTCAACAGTAAATGGCACAAATACAATAATCTGAACAAACAGACTCTTGTTTGTGCCACTTCAGCTGCCTCTGATGTCCCCTCGGCCCTAACCCGAATCCCCCTTAGATGAGAAGCAGGCAAATTGTCTATACAATTATTAAAAAAAAAAACAATTATTTAAAATATAATTATTTGCAGCCCATGGGAAGCGATCAGGCAAATCTCCCTCCAGTGCTCCAGACTGGTACCTTACCAGGATCTTGCGTCGCATGGCCGCTGACTCAGAACTGGTAAATATTTTTCACGTTAGGTTATACTTATCTCTGGCCAATCAGAGATAGATGTTGTCAAGTTCATACATAATAGCTATTGTTGGACTTATGGTAGTACAGAAAAATAGAATTTTATTGTCAGTAAACTTCTGCTATTTAAAAGCTTAAATCGGAGCTTCTTTCTCTCTTTTGAATTTTTTTTATAATTTTTATTAAAGTAATTTTGAGTATTGCGCCACCTATTGTGATACATTTGAACTTCCAGAATCATGTGCGCCAGGAGGTTGGTAATGACGACGTTGGCGACATCTTCCGACTGACTGTAGCTGATAATGTACCCACGGTCAACGGGCTTATGTGAGTTGTATTCCACCACCAGATGGCGCTAGAAGTTTCTTTCATCTCCCTTTCTGCAAAAAAAATTAACGAAGGATATATAATAATAAACTGGAAAAAGCTCTCTTTATGTGGAGTCCTTTTTCAATATAACTTCTATTTTCGTCAACTTACCAACGACCAAACGACTTTTTGTTTTTACATAGTACTTAAGTTACAACAACAAGTTCATATTTTTTTAATAAACCGAAAACTAACAACAACTCTTTCTTTAGGTTTAGCAAGGAGGAATCACCAATTGGGCTACGATCGAGGATCCCGGAAGCTAAACCTATGCTAGATGACAACTTGCTGGCTAACATGAAGATATGGCAATTGATGGTATGGCATTACGTTTTTCATTTGTGAATGGCTTTATTTGAAAACAAAAATTCTTCGTGTAACCGTTTAAGTCTTTAATATTGTGTAAGCACTGAAAGGTTCTTAATGATTGTACAAAAAGAAAGTGACATGTTTTTTTTTCTTTAAGTTGCCTTAAAACTCAAACAACTGCTTCGACCATGTACTCGTATTATGAATATCGCTGAAGTGCTTACTACACAGTGCTTACTATAAATACGAAAACTGTTTCTTGTATATAGACACTTGTTATCTTATCAATAATATAAACAAGAAACAAATGATAATCAACGATCATTTCTGGTTTGTGAATGGTATTTTATACTGACTAATGAAAGTCTCTTTCAACATAAAAATAAATGTACTGATCATAAACCATCTTTTCCAATTATACGAAAGCAAACAAACGACAAACATTGCGTTTTTAATTTCAGAGGCAGGCATCAGAGGAAAAGTGAATGCACAGAAGAATAATTGTACCAAATGGACTGACGTTCTTAATTTAAACAAAGCTGAATTTAGAAAAAAATATATGGTCTATTCAAATTGTTGCCTACCGTTTAATTTTATTTAATACTCTATATGTTTGTGAAAGGAGGTCAGTTGTAAGGCTGGGTTGCAATTGGCTGTAGCTTGTAAAATATAGGGTGTAAGACATGTTGTGCCATTTCATATGAAATCTGTATATTAAAGAAATTAAATATTTATTAATCCATCGCAGTGTATTCATTGCTGTTTACTTAATAAATTCAAACGATTTTTTCGTCTGAGTTGAATTTCAACAAAAACTATAGGCCTTTAAGTGCCGGTGCTAGAATGAGGCTATTTTGTTTAACCCAATTTTTGTAATCTTTATTAGTTTGCTTGAAGTAACAATTCGTATATAACATTTAAATGATAAACTATATACAAAATCCTATATTCAATATTCAAAGTACTCCATTTCAATATGTCACTGTCATATTACTTCTAAAGAGCATGCAATTACATCACAATCTTATAAATCTCACTGAATATGGAGCACAATCTAAAAAAAATTGAGAAAATTTGTTATTTTTTACTACCTTTTTCCATCACTGAATGTTCGATAAGCACTCAGACTAAATACTACAGCAACTCTTGAATTTCCTCATGACTTATCTATTATAATCCATCTCAAATATATAACGCTGTTATACTGTTTATTTAATATTATAAACGCGAAAGTTTGTATATATGGATGGATGTTTGTCACCCTTTCACACAAATACTACTGAATGGATTCAAATGAATCTTTACAATAATATAGCTTATACGTCATAATAAAACATAGGCTATAACTTATACACATACTTTATGTATTTGTCATTCTGTCTGAATGTTACGCTTTCAGCCTATTCTACGCAGACGCAGTCGCGGGCAGCAGATAGTATTTTATAAAGCAGAAACTATTTATAAGAATGTTCAGCATTCGAATAGCTACTTAAAATGTAACTGAGAAACCTCAGGCAACAAATAGTGTGGCAAATAAATAGAAAGTAAATGTTCAACAGGCAGGTAAACGCCTTCACCTTTGGAGTAGCCAACTTTAGTCTAAAGTGCGTCTCATTCAAGCTTTGAATTGTTCTGAGGGTGTAAATGATAAGCTGAAAGCGTCTGTGGAAGCCATGTCGGAATAGTTATTATAAATTTAAATAATTGTGATTAAATGTCGTAATATCCCCGAAACTCTTCACCGCTGCGTTGGAATATGTTTTCAAGCTTCTGGACTGGAAAGGACGAGGTATTAACATCAATGGCGAATACATCACCCACCTTCGATTTGCCGACGATATAGTCATCATGGCAGAATCGCTGGAGGACCTGGGTGCTATGCTCAATGACCTCAACAGTGTCTCCGAACGGGTAGGCCTTAAGATGAACATGGACAAGACGAAGATCATGTCTAATGTCCATGTCACGCCTATACCGGTTGTTGTTGGGAGCACTGAGCTCGAAGTTGTTGACGAGTACGTTTACCTAGGACAGTTAGTCCGGCTAGATAAGTCCAACTTCGACGCAGAGGTCAATCGGCGAATCCAACTCGGATGGGCAGAGTTCGGGAAACTTTGGCAAATCTTCTCGTCGAATATACCTCAATGTTAGAAGACTAAAGTCTTCAATCAATGTGTGTTGCCAGTGATGACCTACGGAACCGAGACGTGGTCCTTCACTGCTGGCCGTATGAGGAAGCTCAAAGTCGCTCAGCGAGCTATGGAGCGGGCTATGCTCGGTATTTCTCTGCGTGATAGAGTTCGTAACGAAGACATCTGCAGTAGAACTAAGATAACCGATATAGCTCAGAGGATTAGCAAGCTGCAGTGGCGATGGGCCGGCCATATATCTCGTAGAGCCGATAACCGTTGGGGAAGAAAGGTTCTCGAGTGGCAGCCTCGTACTGGCCATCGCAGTGTAGGACGACCCCCCACTAGATGGAGTGACGACCTGTGCAAATGTGCGGGAAGTCGATGGATGCAGGTGGCTCAGGATCGTACTTCATGACAGTCTGTGGGGGAGGCCTATGTTCAGCAGAGGACTCAAACAGGCTGAAATGATGATGATGATGAAATGTCGTAATCGTAAAACAATGAAGTCTCACAAAAACAGAATGAAATTTTTTGTAAGAATAAAGTAAACCTTATTTATTAAAACTTGTAGAAAAACGTAAGAAAAGGTTTTCCCCGCTTTTGGAATCGAACCCACGTCTTCGGGATTCGCGCCCTGGCGCTTTAGCCACTAAGCTAAGCGACTTGTTTAATTATGGAATTCAATTCATGAGAGGATTTGAGGGTTTTTTTTACAATATGGTCCTTGAAGCGATTTATATAAAAACGTATGGCTAATTCTTAGACGTGTTGATGTCAAATGATAGCCAACTATTATATAAAACTAATATTTTCGATCGGCGGGGGTCGTGGGTACCAGTATTACACGGTGTAAGACCCAGGGAATATTGTTCCGGACCTGTGTGTTTAACCACGAGGAGACTTGACGTCCGGCAGGCGGCCGGTCATAAAAAACAAAAACAGGTGAAGGAAGAATTTTTATTTTTATGTGAAAATATGTCAAACGAGCTGGCGGTTCACCTTATGTTAAGTGAATACCGCGGCCCATGGACATCTGCTACACCCGAAGGTTTGTAGATGCGTTGACAACCTTTTTGAAAATTGGGCTCCGGCTACCTCACTCACCATACGAAACGCAAAAGTATTATTATACTTTAACTTTACGCCGGTCTTCTGTGACGTCGTGGTACTTACCCAGACGAGCCTGCCCATTCGTGCAACAGCCGAGGCTGCTGCGAGGCCCTACCACAGAAGTCCTTCAATTGAGTTTTTAGCAGTCGAAACCAAGCAGTTAAGAAGGAAATAGAACACTCAATAAAAATTTGTTAACAAAACATAACTACAATAAAACACAACTGACCGTAGAAAGGAGTTTCCATTCCTTCAATCCGACACCGTAACATTAGTCTTGCAACTTTTACACTTGCCATTTGACAACTGATTAGTTCATTTCTACGTTGTTGTACTTACAGAAACCGGGCGTCAGAGTAAAACATTTTATAAGTTCTTTTATAACAAAACCATGTCAGAATTGATTGTTTATTTTATTTATTGTGCACACAATACAATACAAACAATTGGAAATAATTACAAAAAAACATGTACTAAGGCGACCTTAAACATAAGGAGAGTTCTCTCCCAGCAGACCCTTGAAAACAGGAAACCACACTAACGTTAGGTAACCAGGTGAAGGTGATAATTTCTAGTATTTACGCCATTACACCTTACCGTGATCATGAACGCTGTAAAGTGTTCGAAGGTGATTTGAATAGGTGAAGGTGTCTACGATATTTCAAATTTTACCATAGTAATCAAAACAACGTGTATGCATCATAAATTATAAAACATTAAAAACTTAGTTGCATTAAAATATGAAAATTATGCTGAATATCGTTTGCCTTTTGAGCCGCACGTTTTATCCGCTAGTTAGTGCAATTAAACCTACTCACCTCTCCCGTTGGGAGGTTACAGCAACAATGCTTTTAGTGAAAACTCACCTTTATGTTTCAGAGCAGTGTTGCTGCTTCGGTCTTTATGGCCCGACGGTAATACGTGAACTTTACGCGTATTTTTGTGCGAAATATCCTCTACGGTTGTAGGGGATTTGAACGACTAAAAGTCGGGCCTTAATTAAGATAGGACGAATTATCGTTATCGTAATGCGCAATCGTTGTAGTATGAGTTAAGTAATAAAATGTAATGTCATTTATAATACAATAAAATTTCTTTAAGATATCTTTCTTTAGTGTGAAAAATGGGAAGCTAGCAGGCGATCCACCTGATGTTTAGTGGTAGGGCCATGCAATAGTTTTCGTTGTTGCATAAATGGACGGGTCCGTCCGGGGAAGCACAATGACCTCACAGAAGACCGGCATGAAGTAGAAGTGTTCTTCTGCGTTTCGTCTGGTGAGTAATTTAACCGGTGGCCACTATATTAAAAGGTGGCAACGCATCTACGCGACAAAACGGTTTTAGAATCTCTTAAAGAGCAAAACCTCCCCGTCCATGCGGTCCACCGCATGAAAAGTAAAAGAAAGCGCAGCCCTATTGACATGGTCATGGTCCATTTAGACCTCTCTCCAGAGGGGAAATCCATCTTCAATATTGAATCAGTCATGGGACTGACCAATATTGTTATTGAACCTCCGCACAAGGCCACCCTCCCGGGACAGTGCCACAAGTGCCAGAATTACGGGCACGCCGCCCGTAACTGTTTTGCCAAGCCCAGGTGCGTAAAGTGCCTAGGCGACCACGGCACCCCGGAATGTCCCAGACCAAGGGACAAGGCCCTTCTGGCCAACTACGGTCCACCCGCATGCGTCCTCTGCCAGTCGGAAGGACACACAGCAAATTATCTTGGCTGCCCGAACGCACCTAAGCGCAAACCCATTAGGCCCGCCCCTCAGGCAACAAGAAGGCAGCCGATTCCAACGGCCGCTTCTTTCCCTCCTCTTCGTCCCGCGTGGCAGAACCCCATGGCCCCCGCTTGGGCCAAACCGAATCCGCCACTCGCGGAACCCAAAGCTGCCCCTCAACCGGCGCTCATCCCAACACCACCAAAAGCGGCCGGGGGCAACCCCCTGGACTCGCTAAGTCAACTCCTCCGAACCGTCGACATGGTGGAGGTAATGTACTTTGCCGAGCAGTATGCCAAAGGCAACTTCAGCTCGCGATTACTCCTGCTAGACCAGTACCAGCACATAGTTGCTGCGCTTTCAGTTTAAACCAACATGGATAGCACAACTAGAAATAATAATAACGAAAATATTAGTCCCTCTGCCACGCGTAATAACGGCAGAGTCAAACCGCGATCGATAAATGTAGCATTCTACAACGCGAACGGGCTTAAAGAGCAACGCGACGAAATACGT